ACTTACTTCTTACTGTTTTTTTTTTATACTTAATGAGCCAAGGGGGTGGTCTGTGTTTGGTACTTTATAATCCCGAATGTGAGGAGGGTAAAAAGAAACAAAGTTTAAACAGATTCCCGAACTGAGGAGGAGAATGGTTCTTGGGGAGGCAAAATAGGGGTTTTGTCACATTTGGTCCTGGTATTCATGTGGATGTTACTTTAACATGTACCACCTACCTAGAAAATGTTGCAGACCATTTACACCCCTTTATGACAACGGTGTTCCTTGATGGCAGTGGCCTCTTTCAGCAGGATAATGCACCCTGTGACACTGCAAACATTGCTCGGGAATGGAGGTGTTGCCTCTGCCTCCAAATTCCCCAGATCTTAATCCGATTGAGCAACTGTGGGATGTGCTGGACAATAAACCTGGTCATTGGAGGACCCACCTCTCAACCTGCAGTACTTAAAGGACCTACTGCTAAATTTTAATGCCAGATACCACCGAACACATTCAAAGGTCTTGTGGAGTCCATGCCTCAATGCATCAGCGCTGTTTTGGCAGCACGCAGGGGATCTCCATCATGATATAGGGCAGGTGGTTTTAATGTTGAGGCTGATCAGTGTATGTTCTGATTAAGTAAGTTGATATATATGTTTTATTATTTGTGAAGATTGCCAGCTATATATTCGTAAACATTTTTTGACAGGTTGAAGCTGCAGTGATTCTGATAACACAAATTAATTTCCTTAAGGTGTTCGGTTTTAATATGCTCTTGATGATATATACACACTACCCTAAAATAGTGCAGTTTTGAATTATTTTTGATATTCTCAAATATTGTGTATGTAGTACACCTGCACAATAAAACAATTGATTAAGAAAATAATATTGTCCCTTTACCAATTAATCAACTGTCAGGATAAAGTTAGTGTAGAGAGAGCCAGAAAACACAGATTTTCGGCTGATATGCTGGTTATAGGAACATAATGAAGCTTGAATGTCAGAGCTAACATGACCTGCTAGGTAAAGTGCCCCCATGCACTACCAATCTCATCATAGAGGGCCAAGAACAAGGTGGGACCAGAGGGTGGGAGTTACAGTATGGTACCATGGACAGGACGTAAGTAAAATCTAAACCGTTACTAAAAGGACTAAACATATAATTTAGGTGATTTGTCGTGACAGGTTCACTTTAGTAATGAGGTTCCATCAGACGGTGGAAATATGTAAAAGATATTTTAAAGGCAAGTCTTCTAGATCGTTAAATTAAAAACCTTGATCCTTGTTAAAAGTTGTCTTTTTCATTAATTTCCAATTCAAAACAATCGTGGAGCAAATATGAGTAGCATACACTTCTGTTGGCTGCAGGGTGCCGATATCGAAAGAAGCTTATTGAGCAGTAGAGATGTGCATTTCATTTCGGTCCGAATATGAATTCGGATGAATTTCAGGAAATTCGGACATTCGGGTACTTCTGAATGTCTGAAGTTCCGAAGCACAGTATTGCTTAAGTACTAATATACTTACCCAGTGAAAGAAGAATGTTACATTGTATACAATTTTAAATAAAAAGTATACAAATGTTACAAACTGCCTTTTGTAACTGTTCCTTTAAATGACAAATTGCCCTGCTCCCCTGGATTATGGAGGAGCCTATTTGCCAGCCTCCTCCCCCATGACTATGGTCCGGATGTGTATGGCCCTTTAAGACAGTCGGTGGGCATATTGGGGCTTATGGACTTTTTATGGGACTGGTGCTGGCCTTTTAAGCACTTTTTTGGGACATAGAGAAAATTGGGACAATGCCCCTTTAAGACTGTGTCCCCAGACTTGTTTGGGACATTGCCCCTTTAAGCCTGTGTCCCCAGACCTGGTTAAAACCCTTTGTTCCTGGCTATTTCCCACTTGGTTCAGTAAATGGGGCTTACTGAACCAAGTACCACACAGGCGGACCACCCAGAAGTGGAAGTGTGCAGACAATTTACCTCCCAGGCTTGGAGCCTGCTGTAGGTAAATTGCCGAACGCTGGGTGGCTACCGTTCGCGCAAACAAACACGTGGCGGCGCCATCTTTATTCATAATACGGTCAGCGGTGTGTGCAGCCAAATTCATGGAACTAAAATCGGCTGCACATTTCTGCAAACACTGCTGACCTGTAACTTCTCCCATACTGAACTTTCAGCCGCAGAGACTAAGTCCCAATCAGCGATGGGACTTAGTCATTTTTCAGCCTGAAATAGACCGACCGCACAGCCCAAATCTATGGAACTGTTTTGGGCAGGAAAATGTACTTGCGGTTGGTCATAAAGGGACCTCCAGCTAACTTTTTATCCACTCGAGGGATTTGTGTGATTTTTGGTTATGTTTATATTTAAAGTGTGCTGATTCTGAATATGAAGATTGGATGTATGGTTTTAAAGTTATAGTACATGTATAAAAACTGTATTTTTACTGCCTGTGTTTAATTATGTTAAACCATTGTGTGCCATAATTAGATCACAGGCAGAGGGGGAGGATTTTGTGTGTAATTGCTGGGAGTGTTTTCTGTAATGTACGTGTATGATTGGTTGTTCTGTAAAACGCTGTGGGTGGTCCTATGTAAGGAAAACGTGCATAAAAGAAGGCCCTTTGGTGCCAAATAAATGAGAATGACTTGAACTTCTAACTTGCAGCCTTGACTCATGTTTGTAGGGGACAGCTATAATCACTACAGGGATTGCTATGCTCTTCATACTCCCTTAGCTACTGAGCTCTTGTAAGAGCTCTTGTTCCTGATCCTGCTTCACTCTACAGAAGGAAGAGGTTCACCTACTGGAACCTGGAGCCTGGTCGTGGGTCCAGGGTGGATAGCCGATGGCAAGATCCTAGCCCAGCAGCGGCGGTTCGTGGAGTCTGCAGTACTTATGGTGTCTACGCAGTAGTTATGGTGTCTATGGTGCTGATGGTCCTTTGGGAGCGCTAGGAGCATCCTTTCTACGGCCCAACTTCCAGCCAGCCTGGAGGCAACCGTAACAACAAACATAGCCAGGATTCAGCTGTAAGCATTTGCAACACTTACAACAATCAAGTAACATACATTCATATAAAAAATGTAAGTTACTTAGTCAGTCAGTGTAATGACAGGAATGAATAAGTAGATAACTCCCTAATTCCCACGGTATTAGGGTGCTATCTACTAAAAGGCTGAAAGACCTAAATTGGTCTTTCAGACAAATTTACTAATACTAAGTAAAGATTACTTAGTATTAGTAAATTATGCCCCTACTCGCTATACCTCGAGTAGGGGCAGGTCTATTAAACAGTGAGCAGCCACTGTAAAAAAAGGTCCCCCCTCCTATTGCCCCCCCCCCGGCCCCCACCCCTAAGCAGCGGGTGGGGGCCCTAATGTAAAATAATGGGAGGGGACCTATTGTCCTCCCCCCCCCGGGCCACCAACCCTGAGCGGCGGGTGGGGGCCCTAAATCAGAATAAGGGGGGGACCTAATGTCCTCCCCCCCGGCCCCCAACCCTGAGCGGCGGGTGGGGGCCCTAAATCAGAATAAGGGGGGACCTAATGTCCTCCCCCCCGGCCCCCAACCCCTGAGCGGAGGGTGGGGGCCCTAAATACTAATAAGGGGGGACCTAATTTCCTCCCCCCTGGCCCCCACCCCTGAGCAGAGGGTGGGGGCCCTAAATTGGAATAAGGTGGGGGACCTAATGTCCTCCCCCCTGGCACCCACCCCTGAGCAGCGGGTGGGGGCCCTAAATACCAATGAGGGGGACCTATTGTCCTCCCCCCCGTCCCCCACCCCTGAGCGGCGGTGGGAAGACAATAGGTCCCCCTCATTGGGGGCCCTAAAAAAATTTACCCCCCTCCCAGGTGACTAGGGGTCCCCAAACCGCTAGTCAACCCCCCCAAAAAAAATTAACCCCCTACCTATCCTCCTCACCCTAAAAATAACGAGGGGTGACCTTTAGCTAAATACCTGTAAAAAAAAATAAAAAATCACCATTCGATGTTTTCTTTCTTCTAAAATCTTTTTTCAGCCTCAAAAAAGGCCAAATAAAAATCCATAATAACCGACGCACTAAAAAAAAAAGCGCAAAAAAAAATAATCCTTCACCCATGAAGAAAAAAATAATCCCTCTTCACTCAGTCTCTGCGCAGACTGAGCTCTGCAGGGCGGGGAAAGGCTTATAAAGCCTTGCCCCGCCCTGCAATTAGGCTCAGAGCACTCTGATTGGTGGGTTTAAGCCATCCAATCAGAGTGCTCTGGCAGGTAAATGAAGAGACTGAGGAATTATACCAATCAGAGTGCTCTGTGTCATTTTGGGGGCCCTAAATACTAATAAGGGGGGGGACTTAATGTCCTCCCCCCCTGGTTCCCACCCCTGAGCGGCGGGTGGGGGCCCTAAAAAAACTGTTAACCCCCCCTCCCAGATGACTAGGGGTCCCCCCCCCAAAAATTAACCCCTATGTCCCTATTTTTAGGTCCCTATTTTTTTATTTATTTTTTTTTAAACAGTGAGCAGCCACAGGCTGTATAGAGTGGAAGAAAGGGGGAGGGGGAATCTTTCTCACACTTCTCTGACAAGGGAGACCACCTCTGTTCTTCCGAGCAATGCAATCGCAGTGCATGCTCTGTGGTTGCTATAGAATCTCTTTAGCTGGTGCTGCTATCCCTGTATGGAGTATAGGAACACAGTGACTGATGTCGGCATCACTAAGGTGGTTTTTCCTGTTAGGGAAGTGTCCCCAAGAATGGCAATCAAAAAAGACCAGTAGTGGATAGGAGCAGAGGGTGGACTGGAGGCGGGTGTTACATGAAGAATAACATGAACGAAGCTTTGAAGATGGTGACACTGGAATTGAGCTGAGTATATCTCTAAAATTTACATTGAACACATCATGTATCTTTGTGATATGTTTTATTAAATGTATATGGGGGCGGTTTAAAGGTAAGTTACATTTTCTATTACAGGTTGCAAAGTTAGATAGCTGAAAAGAGACTTGTATCCATCAAGTTCAGCCATCCTCACATATGTTGTTGCTGTTGATAAAAAAGAAGGCAAAAATCCTAGTCTGAAGCGCTTCCAATTTTGCCACAAACTAGGAAAAGAAATCCTTCTTGACCCCAAAATAGCAGTCAGATGTCTCCTTGGATCAAGCAGCTATTACCCCACTAATTAGAAATTATATCCCTGTATGTTGTGTTTTTGGAAGTATTTATCCAATTGCAGTTTAAACATCTGCATGGACTCTGATAAAACCACCTCTTCGGGCAGAGAATTCCATATCCTTATTGCTCTTACTGTAAAAAAACCCTTTTCTTTGCCTTAGATGAAATCTCTGTTCTTCCAGCCTAAATGTGTGACCTCGTGTCCTATGTATAGCCCTGTTTATGAATAGATTTCCAGATAATGGTTTGTACTGGCCCCGAATATATTTGTATAATGTTATCATATCCCCTCTGAGACGCTGTTTTTCCAAACTAGAGAGATTTTAATTTTTTTAACCTTTCTTCTTAACTAAAAGGCTCCATTCCTTTTATCAATTTTGTAGCTTGCCTCTGCACTCTTTCTAGTCTTACCAGCGATTTATAAAGAGGCATGTAACGGACCGTTTTGCACAAAAGGGGAAAAAAATGCTTAGACAATAATCCCCTTTCAGAGACAGGCACAGCTACTGTAGAATCACCAAAACTCACGAATTGAATACAAGTGAATGCTCCAAACACCCGAACTGCATACAAGGGAATGCTCCAAACACTCGAACTGCATACAATAAGTGAATGCTTCAAACTCCCGAACGGCATCCAATATAGCACTCCAAACAGACGAACAGGAACCATACGAATTGCTGCTACCAGAATAGGAAAAGCATCCAAGCAGCTTACACTCCTAGCAATCAGTCTCTATCAGCATTCAGTAAATCCCCCCAAAGACGAGACAAGGCTCCGTGTTGAGGGTCAAGCAGTGGTCTGTTTAATGAGGGCTACCTGCCCAATATTTATGCAGGTTTCCCACCTGGTGGACACTCCCCTAGGGGACCAGATGGAAGACTGTAACAAAAGACAGACATGTACCAATTACAGACATACAGAAGTAAAACATCCCCACAATGCATCCTGGCTTCCTCCCCTCTGCCCTGGAGAAGTAATTCAATTATCTCCCAGGACAAAGGCAAAACTCCATCACACACGTGGGGACACAAAACCAGTATTATACTTTAAAATACATAAAGTAACATTTATTACATAAAACACAGACATGTAGCATATCCCCAGATAGCTCAGGTCTGAGCGCACATTATTAAGCAAATGGCGCTCAGACCACACGAATACAGTTTAATCGCCATGGCCGTTCGTGCACTTCCACTGAACAAGAAGGGAGGTCGGCGGCTTCAGCGGTGTTCGCGCAAAACTGTGTCCGATTTTAGTTCCATGAAAATAGGGGCGAACACCGCTGTGCATTCGTATGTTTAAAATGGCCGCAACCTCATGTTCGGGATACGAATGGCGGCCACCCAGCATTCGTCAATTAAGCTGCGGTTAACCGCAGCTTCAGGGAGGTTAATTGCCGGCACACTCCAGCTCCCAGGTGGTCTATTCATTCGTGCGGTTGTTCGGTAGATTGAAACTACCGAACAACCGGCAGAAAAGCACGAATACAGCTTTTCTGCAGGCGAAATAAAGTCTTTTAAAAGGGGGCCATAGTCCAGAGGCAGCAGGCGAGCAACCAGGCTTCTCCAATGCAATGTGGCGTGATTGGTCTCGTCACAAGGCAAAATTATATTTTCATCCCGAAAAGTTATGCCCCTCTTTATACCTGACAAAACCTTACTGGCCTTAGCAACTGCAGATTGACATTGCATTTTGCTGCCTAAGGTTCACTTTAAAGGACCACTATAGTGCCAGGAAAACATACTCATTTTTCAGGGTCCCCCTCCCGCCGGGATCTAGGGGTGGAAGGGGTTAAACTTACCTCTTTCTCCAGCGCTGGGCGGGGGACTCTCCTCCTCCTCGGCTGAATGCGCATGCGCGGCAGGAGCCGCACGCACATTCAGCCAGTCTCATAGGAAGGCATTCACTGATTGTCACAGTGAGAAGCACGCAAGCGCCTCTAGCAGCTGTCAATGAGACTGCTATGTTTATAGAAAAAAGGGTTAAACCTATCTGGACCTGGCACCCAGACCACCTCATTAAGCTGAAGTGGTCTGGGTGCCTATAGTGGTCCTTTAAGGAGGTTGAAGAAGAAATAAAGACGAAATGAAAGTGATTTGGGGGAAAGGAGAGATTTTGTTTTCTTCTGCTTAATTTTCCAAACATTCCATTTCAAAGTAATGTTCTGATATTTTCAGTACTGGTTTTGCCATTATTGATTTGATAAAATGGGCCTTATAATGTACATTAAACATTTACTACAGCACCATGCCTAATGCGGTGCTTTGAAGTGGTCCTGGTGCAAGGACCCTTTATGTGAATCATTTCAGTATGAAACATTGCTCATACAACGATATCTATTGTTGCTGCTGGAGATACAACTCAGCCACTTTCATTAGCCAGCTTGGAAAGAGAGGTCCAGGCTTGTGAATGCTGATTCTGTGCATAGGGGCTTATTTATTGTCCGAGAGCTGTCAGCTGACATTCTAAGTATGTGAATGAATAGCACACCTATATTCCTTAGAAGATCCGCACTGTGATGCCAAACGAACCAGGTAGACTACCAATCCCTTAAAATATACCAAATTTAGAGAACTGATGTCCGGGCGTACACAGGATGTCCAAAATGCAGACTTTATTGGAGTGAACTGGCAATGTTTTGGCTACCACAAGAGCCTTTTCAAAGCCAGAAGTGGCTTCGAATTGCTATCAGATGGGGAGACAGCACAACTCCCTCGTGGGCAGCAGCACTGTAGGATGTGATATTATTATTAACACTTCACAGCTTTTCATGGATCTGCTATAACACTAGCAGCTGAGGGCCTAGATGCAGGATAGTGTGTGGAGGGGAAGAGAACATCGCATTTCCCTCCCATATTGCACTGCCAACTTGCAGTCCGACATGGAATTTGAGGTTGAATTGATTGAGAGGGCAGTAGAGGGTAGGGCAGGGGATATATTTGTTTACAATGGATACAAGAGATTGGGAATCTGTGTGTGTGTGTGTGTGTGTCTATTTGACAGTGAATAATAAACAATAGATAAATGGTGAGAGCACACTACACAAAATAAAGGACTTTACCTTAATAATAAAACAAACTGCCTTTCACTCCTTCGGTTCTTAATGGACTCCTGTATATAAAATATAAAAACAGGAGAGAACACACATAGGGCAGTACCATTTAGATCAAATTAAAATAGAACTTGTGAAAGTTTCCACTCACATGTTTTTGAGCCATTTCATATAAGCTGGCTCAAACTACAGCCATAAATAATGTAGCACGTGGTCTCCTCACACCAGGCTGCTTCCCCTCTGTAGTCCTTCTTTGGTATTCAAATATTCCAGGATGCAAGGAAATTGAAATAATTTATTGGACACAATATTAAAAAAGGGGGGTTTAAAACAAACAAACAACTCTCGGTATATAAAAAATTATTAAAAGTCCACTGTGCAAAACAATAAAGAAGACTTGACGCGTTTTGGCCTGCGCCTTTATCAAAAGTCTAAATTCCTTCCTCCTTCATACTCCTTTAAATATGTCCGTTTTCTTGGCACCTTTTTTGGAATTCGTGCCCATTTTCCTGTCACTTCCGGTATCAGGGCTGCATCCACTGCCCTGACCCGCTTTCAAAACCACTTCCGGTTCGTGTTCCATAGCGTCTGATGTCATTTCTGGTTCCGGCGTCATGACAACTTCCGGTCCAGACGTCTTTCCGGTTCAGACAGAAAGAACTTCTGCATTTTGCCAGTACTTAAGATGTCCATTATGGCACTATACATTACAGTGTGCCAATCTGTAAAAGGTCTATTCAAGCAGTCATTTTATAGTTTACAATGAATTGTATACATTCATTACCTAAAAACACATTTCTTTCAATGGTAGGTCTCTTCATGTTTTCTACATATATCATTAAGTGTTCTTGCATAGCAAGACCACTTATTGTTATCTCACATATATATTATTCTTATTATTATTATAGCCAAATTTGCCACCCTAACTCCTCCCACAGTTTTTACACTACATAGACAAAAATTTACCAAAACGTGCAGATTGTTCCCGATCGGATTGCTATTACTTTGTGGAACGTTTCGCCGAATGGTTCACGGAATATCGGCGTTCTTGTGGCGAAATTTGTCCCATAGGAATGAATGGCAAAGCTAGAGTGGGAGCTGGCAAAAGCTGAAAAATCAGGACATGATTTCTAAACTGCCACCACTCCCTTATTTTCAGGCCCACCTACACAAATCTTATATCAAAACGTTCAGCTATCCCTGCTGCCACTAAACATGTCAACGGCTAAGCCATAGTCCTGATAGTTTTCACAATATAATCATTTGTTTGCAACTAACGCCGTCCATTGACTTTCATTGAAACTTCACTCTGCAAAGCTCAAATTTGAAGTGCAATTTCTAAACTGCGGCTGTGCCTTCAATTTTAATACTTCAGAGACATACTATGCATCAAAATGTAGGTCTGGGTCTTGTGATTCTCACAATATAAAGCTCTTCGCTGTAGGAGTTATAGTTTTTAAGATACGACCGTTTGAAGATAGCAACCACCAAAATACTCTGACCTGTGTCAGGCTGCAGCAGCAAGTGATGTCATAGACAGGGCCTTTTGAACACCTGCTAATGTTTTTATACATGTATGGTTTAACCCCTTAAGGACTGGACTGTTTTTGTGATGTTGTACATTTGCGACCAGGCATATTTTTACACTTGTGTGGTGTTTGTGTTTGGCTGGAATTTTCCGCTCTCTCATTTACTGTTCCCATAAAATTATATATTGTTTTTTTTCAGGACAAAAGGGGCTTTCTTTACATACCATTATTTATATAATCTCATGTATTTTAATTTAAAAAAAATAAAAAAATATGATGAAAAATTGAAAAAATACATGTTTTTTGACTTTTACTTGAAAAATCTTTTACTCATCTACAAAAGCGAATTAAAAAAACTGCTAAATAGATTCAAAATTTTGTCCTGAGTTTAAAAATACCTAGTGTTTACGTGCTTTTTTGCTTTTTTTGCATGTTATAGGGCTATAGGTACAAGTAGGATATTGCGGTTTCAAAACATACATTTTTAAAATTTATCAATAGTGACATTGTAACAGTATTATCTGTCATAAATCTCTGAATAACACCCCACATGTACATATTTTTTTTAAAGTAGACAACCCAGGGTATTCAATATGGGGTATGTCCAGTCTTTTTTAGTAGCCACTTAGTCGAAAACACTGGCCAAAGTAAGCATTCATATTTGTTTGTGTGTGAAAAAAGTAAAAAAACTAAATTGACGCTAATTTTGGCCAGTGTTTGTGACCAAGTGGTTACTAAAAAAGACTGGACATACCCCATTTGCAATACCTTGGGTTGTCTTCTTTTGCAAATGGTATGCCATCATGGGGGTAATTCTCATTCCTGGGCTACCATACGCTCTCAAAGGCAACGTAACCAACCTGGCCATTTTCAATGTAAAAATATTTGACCCATATATTTGACCTTGTAACTTTCGAAAATGCTATAAAACCTGTACATGGGGGGTACTGTTTTACTCGGGAGACATCGCTGAACACAAATATTAGTGTTTAAAAACTGGAAAACGTATCACAACAATTATATCATCAGTAAAAGTGCTGTTTGTGTGTGAAAAATGCAAAAAAGTCACTTTCACTGACAATATCATCGCTGTGATATGTTTTACTGTTTTGAATCACTAATATTTGTGTTCAGCGAAGTCTCCCGAGTAAAACAGTACCCCCCATGTACAGGTTTTAGGGTGTCGTAGAACGTTACAGGGTAAAATACAGTGCTAGCAAATTAAATTCTCTGGAATTTCGGCCTGGGTTGGCAGGCAGGTCCCTCAAATTGCAATCAATAAAATTACAGAATTATGTAAAAATGTTACATAAATGCGCACGTAGAATTTAAATATATATGCATATTTATATATTTGAAGTCTACGTGTATATTTATATAATTATTTATGTAATTTTGTATATGGACATATGTATATTTCTTATTATTTTTATTTATTTTTATATACATAGATATATATACAAATTCATTCTAAGTGTATTTTGATATAAATATATATTACTTTTAAAATACAGTTAGAATAAAATTTCATATAGGTAATTTTTTTAAAATTTTTATTATTATTTAAAAAAAATTGTATTTAATTTAAATTACTTATTATTTATCTTTTATAATATATATATATATACACAATATATATAGTTATTATATAAATTATATATACGTGTGTAATTTAATTATAAGTGTATTTTTATATTAATATAAGTACATATTAATATAAAAATACACTTAGTATGGCATTATATATATATATGATATATAGACATATATTATATTGATATAATATATGTCTATATATCATATATGTATACACATATATAATTATTATTTTTTATTAACATTAACTTTATTTTTTTAAATGATTTTACACTAGCAGGGAGACTGCCTGTCAGCACAGACAGTCCCCCTGCAGGCACACACATGGACACCTATTGTGACCATGTGATCGCTGTGTTAAGCGATCACATGGCCCCAGGGGTCCCAATCCAGTGTGGGGAGACTGTCTGGGCTGCAGGCAGTCTCCCCACAACCAGAGCCACGCTGATCGCCGCCGGGGGAACGACGGCGATCAGGTAAGTAACGGAGACCGTTAGGACGGTTCAGGACCGTCATCGGTCGGCAACGCAAAAATGCCGATGATGGTCCTGAACCGTCCTCGGTCGCGAAGGGGTTAATGTAACTGTGCAACAACGTTGCAATTAAATGTGCTATATAAATGATAACAGTTACTCCGCCCACTCCAGTTGTAGACTACTGGTGGAGGCAAGAACACTTCACACAATTTCCCCAGAAATTGTAGCTTTTCTAGTTTACATTTTATTCTATCAATAAATAGCCTTCCTAATCTAGTGAAACCTAAGAGGTGCTTGGTAAAAACAATTACCTCAAGGGACATCCATGCAAAATATATAAATAAATTTAAAAAAAAGAGGGTAGAGAAAAGGAGATAAAAAGAGAATTAATAAACCTATTATAAGGTACAAAAATTTTATAAGTATTTACAATTAATCCAAATTTAATAAGGTCACCTTATTATGTTGACTAGAGAAAAATATATAATAGGAATAATATAAATTTTACCCCAAATAGTTAAAAATTATATACATATAAAAACATAATATATATTAAAAGAATTTTAATATATTTTTTAAAATATTTGAAAAACACCTAAAAAGTTATATATATGGGGTGATCTCAAAGTCAACATTGAGCCCTTGTGGTATTAATGTATCAATGTCGAAGATCCACTTCATTTCACTCTTATTCAGGAGGCACTATTTATCCCCCCCTTTCAGTGTACTTTTATTTGCTCTATTCCAAAGAATTCTGAACCTCTTGGGTCGGCGTTATGGCACTCCATAAAATGTTTTGATACACTATAATTTTCAGATTTCCAAGTAATATTATAGATATGCTCCCTAATTCTAATTTTCAGACAACGTGAAGTCCTACTTATATATTGTAGCCCACAAGGGCAAATGAGCATATATATAACGTCCTTACTATTGCAAGAAATAAATGATCTAATATTATACTCTTTTTTGTGGTGTTTGATGTAAACTTTAAAATCTTTTTGTTCTTGTCCTTCCTCAATTTACACCCCCTACATTCACCACAATAAAAGAATCCATTAGGTTGTTTTAAAAAATTAGTCCTTTTATCCTCAACATTTAAAAAACGTTTTGTTAAAATTTGTTTTAAATTATTTGCATCCCTAAAAATGATTCTCGGTTTATCTTCAATAAAACTAGATAACTTATCATCAGCTTTTAAAATGTGCCAATTCTTATTTATTAATTTTCTTTAAATCCCGGTTATTAGTGCAATAATTGAAAATTAATGGAACCTTTTCTTTTTCGGTCTGAACCTCATTTTTATTTTCCAAAGTTGTTTTCTATCAGCCTGTCCAACTTCTCTAAAAGACCTCCATCATATCCTTTTTCCTTAAATTGTTCACATAGATGTACCACCTGCTGCTCATATTTGCTCTTCTCTGTGCAATTCCGTTTTAATCTTAACATTTGTCCTTTTGGGATATTGTCTAGCCAAGGTTTAAAATGGCAGCTTGTACAATCAATAAAACTGTTCACATACACAGATTTAAAATATGTTTTACTTTTAATTTGCTGGTCTTCAATATAAATAAATAAATCTAAAAAGTTAACTCCAAAACGGCTAAAATCATATGTGAGTGTAATATTCCATTCATTTACATTTAAAAAGTAAAACAATGATTTTAAAGATTCCTCACTCCCATTCCATATTATAAAAATATCGTCAACGTTTATAGAGGACGAGATTTTCCCCAAATTCCTCATTGGAATCTGTAAACAAATTTTCCCAATGGGACATAAATAAATTGGCATAACTTGGGGCAAATCTGGTCCCCATAGCCGTACCTTTGATCTGTAAATAAAACCTCCTCAAACCAGAAAAAATATTCCTTAAAATCATATTTATCCCTTCTACAATAAAATTAATCTGTGGATCAGATAAGTCTTCAAACTTCTTTAAAAAAAATATGTAGCAGCCTCACATCCTTTCTCATGTCCAATATTAGCATAGCAGCTGCTTACATCACATGTTGCCATAATAAAATGTTCATCCCACTTAAAACCTTCTAAAATATTTAAAAGGCTCATAGTGTCCTTCAGGTATGCTTTACACTTTTTCACCGGACTCTGTAAAAATAATCAATATATTGTGATAATGGTGATAAAAGTGAGCCAATTCCCGACACAATAGGTCTCCCCGGAGGGTTATTCACATCTTTATGAAATACTCAGCAAAAATGCAGTTTTTTCCCCTTCACCACAAACACTGACATAAATTGGTGAAAGAATGGTGACAAGTTAAGGCACAATATACGCCATATAAGATACCCTGGGGTGTCTGCTTTATAAAATGGAAGCACTCTGAGGAGTTACTTGATCAGTCAAACTGCTATAATACCCCAAATTGAGACATAGGCCCATCAAATCCACCTATGAAAATTCTAACTATAGAAACTGAAATAGCCTTGTCTCTTATATGGCATTGTAGCTTCACAGAATAGTGCCAAAGGCATCCAATAAGGGTATCGTTATACTGAGCATATGTAGCTGAACACAATATGGGGTTCAGTGCAGGAATAACATACACCAGATTTACGGAATACACATTATAAAAACCTATTTATATGTGTATACTCCGAATTAAAGAAAAAACACAATTTTACTGTAATATTTAGCAGAGATTGTTGATTAAATTGCTATGTAAAAAGTGTCAAAATAACCTTAGGTAAATAGCCTGTAATATCTACTTTATATAAATATATACTTTTGTCTGGCAATTTTATTTTCTGTTATGGCTACTAAACTTACAAGACAAACATACCAACTTCTAAAATTGTTTCACATTGAAATTTTATTTTAGTCCTTGTATTTAGTGACCTGTAACTTTCAAAATAAGCTGAAATCCTAGACATATGATGTACTCTATAAATCAAGACACATGAATGAATTTATTTTGAATTACTTTTGGACATATGCACACACTATAATTGCCAAAACTGTAAAAAATTTGTGTTCCCTCTTTCCCCATTTTTTTTATAATTAAGGAGAATGTATCTATGTATATGTGACATCGAATTAATGCCCTTTTTGCCCTCTAAAAAAACAGTATATAATATTTATTGGTTCGATAAATGAGAGAGATGCAAAGTGCGGTTGAACACAAACCGCAAAAAAATGAAAAAATGGCTTCTGTCCCTAAGGGTAAGACAAGCTTTTGAAGCTGCGTCCTTAAGGGGTTAACCAGATCCATTGAGTGTTTACACTGTCAGGGTACCATCACTGACACCAAACTGCATCTTGCACTATACATTTCTTACACACAGCTCTCAGCGTCAGTTTCTAAGACAGGTAATTATTAATGTTGCAATGCCATTCATAATCTTTTCAAGATACCAACCTACTTCAGTTATGTGTTTCTTACCTCCACAGCATTGTCTAAAGCTGATTATGCTTAAAGGACCTTTACATGGCACGGTCACCAGAAATCGTCTTTACGGTATTACAGTTTTGTAACAAATGCCTTCAAATTGTACCAGTGTTTTTAAACCTATTAACCACTACTGTCATTAAAATGAAATTATTTACATTTAAAGGGTTCCTGCTTTTAGAAGTAATAATTTTGATAGGAGCCAGTATGTGTAGCATATCTGCTTGAAATGTAGCATATACAGAAAAATTTGCATTATTGCACCAGGGGCTAGGTGCACACCCAGCACACGTGACTTATTTAATGGCTGTCTAATATCATTTTATGTGCAAAAATAATGTCTGTAATCAGTGCACACTGTACACTGGTGACAGATGTAAAGAGCTCCTCACTGGGAGGCTTCAGTGTCTCCCCCTTCCCAGCCTCCATCCATTTTCAACATTTAAACATTTTTATTTTTTTTCCTCACTCCCCAGAGCATGTGCGTGCGCTCTGAGCTGGTGACAGAGTTCAATGAAATACTTCTCTAGAAGAAGCATTTGACTGAACCATGGATGAAGTGGTGTGACAACAGCCGTGGTGAAGAAATGAAGTGAGGAGGACATTGGCATGTAATTCAAGGGAAGTTTTAATCTATTTAAAGGTTTTTTATTATTAAATAAAGGGGTGGCCAAAATCAATAGTGTCCAATAGCACATCATAAGCTAAACCAACAAAAATAAAGATATAGTAAACCTTTAATTACTTATTTCTTTATAGCACAGATAACACTCCCACTGAAACGACCCATTCCTGGAATGCTAGGAGTCAGATAGTTTGTGTGTTTGAGCCTCATGTTGTGACTGGGTGATGACATCATTGCCCTCAGCAAATATTAGTGCATGAAAATTATGAAAAACCAGACGGCCGCATCCACATAAAAGACTGTTGGGTCTTTAAGTGGTAATTACAGCTACACAGAGTGTAGCTTGGATAGATGCAAAGAGTTACCTGTTGGTAGTATTGTTCTAATTTAAAATTATGTAGAGGCAAATTCTAATGACAGGTCTGTTTAATTGTACTACTTGGATAAACATGAGTTTTAACAAAAAAAAAAAAATCTATACCGTTCTATAAAAAGTTCCTATTTTCTTTCCTGAGTGAATGGTTTTCTTTAGGAAATTAACTCAGATGTTCATTTTGGGTAAAACGAGTCCGGCATTCAGAACAGGAATACAGATTTTCCGCCTTCAATGTCCATCCAGCAAGATCAGATTGATGATGAAAGAGTTTCTCAAAGTTCCAAAGTTGGTTTCTCTCCGCCATGAATCCTCTGATGTTGACCAAGGTTGAATTTGTTGGAGAAACACTGCCCACATTCAGGACAGGGATATGGTTTATCTACTTTGTGAGTTTTATGATGGTGAAGAAGACCCTCCTTCCGTCGAAAACCTTTCCCACAATCAGAACAGTAATATGGTGTCTCACCTGTGTGCAGCCTCTGATGCTGAACGAGATGTGGTTTTTGGTTGAATCTTTTACCACATTCAGAACAAGAATATGGTTTTTCTCCTGTATGAATTGTAAAATGTGTAGTAAGAGATGACTTGCGTGTAAAACATTTCCCACATACTGAACAGGAAAAAGGTTTCTCTCCTGTATGAACTTTAAAATGTGCATTAAGATTTGACTTCTGTGTAAAACACTTCCCGCATTCAAAACAAGCATATGTTTTTAGATTTGTGTGAGTTATAGAAAATGGGGCACAATCGATACCAGATTCCATGTGTTCTTCCTGAGTCGATGCGTATTCTGTCAGTGTAAATGGATTTGGCTTTGTGCGAGTTCTTTTCTGTTTAACCATTTGGGGATTATTTGAAGGACATTTCTCAGACTCATGTAATATATCAGATGATTTCTCTGTCATGTAAGGTATAGAATATGGGGCACGATCATTACCAGGTGCCATTTCTTCTTCCTGAGTTGATGCATATTCTGTCTGTGTTTGTTCCGAATGTGTATCAATGTCAGTGTCTTCTTCACAAGAAGGTAATTCCTCCTTAACATGGTTAGATGAATCATCTGGACATATATAATCACTGGGTGCATAATTTGGTGTGAGATAGTCTCCTTCGTAAGTGTCTGGTTCCTCCTTAATACGCGTTGACGGATATTCTACCACTGTATGGTCTATGGGTGTAGACATGTCAGTGTCTGTGAAATTCTCTTCACATGAGCTTGGTCCCTCTTTATTGTCTGCAGATGGATATTGTGTCTGTGTATGTTCTGTGGGTGTAAAACGGTCATTGTCTGGGGAATTTCCTTCTTCACATGGAGATGATTCTGCTTTAATTTGAGTAGATGGATATTCTCCGTGTTTGTGTTCTGTTGGTGTAAAAATGTTGGTGGTTTTTTTTTCTTCTTGATTCACTGATGAATCAGACGCACTTCTCATACAGCTTCTTGTTCCAGCTTTATATAGCACTGGGCATTCTGACTCAAAATTATTTGCAGATTGTTTGTTTTCTTGACTTAGACTTAAAGGGGACAAAACAAGAGTTTCCGAAGTGGAAGACAATTTCTGGGAAGTTGACAAATCTTTAGGAAAAAAAATGCAAAATGGTTCATTTACATTGAAAACATTACAGCATGGTAAACGTTGATGCAAGAGTCATGACATGATGTTTAACAAGAATAAAACGTGGTAAAAATAAACCCGTATTTCTATATGAACTACAGAGAGGTTGGCTAATTATCATCACACACAAGGGGACTTACAGGTATTTCGTTGGGGTAATCCCTTGGAGTGAATTATGTTTAGAAAGAAATAATGAGATGCTAGAAGCAGAGGTAACTAAATAAAACTTACCTTTTAACATTGTTTTAAATAAAATGTTACAGTTGCAAGAAAAAGTATGTGAACCCTTTGGAATGATATGGATTTCTGCACAAATTGGTCATAAAATGTGATCTGATCATCATCTAAGTCACAGCAATAGACAATCACAGTCTGCTTAAACTAATAACACACAAAGAATGAAATGTTGCCATGTTTTTATTGAACACACCATGTAAACATTCACAGTGCAGGTGGGTAAAGTATGTGAACCCCTAGACTAATGATATCTCCAAGAGCTAATTGGAGTGAGATGTCAGCCAACTGGAGTCCAATCAATGAGATGAGATTGGAGGTGTTGGTTACGGCTACACTGCCCTATAAAAAACACACACCAGTTCTGGGTTTGTGTGACGAGACCAATCTCGCCACATTGCATTGGAGAAGCCTGGTTGCTCGCCTGCTGCCTTTGGACTATGGCCCCCTTTTAAAAGACTTTATTTTGCCTGCAGAAAAGCTGTATTCGTGCTTTTCTGCCGGTTGTTCGGTAGTTTCAATCTACCGAACAACCGTACGAATGACTGGACCTCCTGGGAGCTGGAGTGTGCCGGCAATTAACCTCCCTGAAGCTGCGGTTAACCGCAGCTTAATTGATGAATGCTGGGTGGCCGCCATTCGTATCCCGAACACGAGGTCGTGGCCATTTTAAAACATACGAATGCACAGCGGTGTTCGCCTCTATTTTCATGGAACTAAAATCGGACACAGTTTTGCGCGAACACCGCTGAAGCCGCCAACCTCCCTTCTTGTTCGGTGGAAGTGCACGAACGGCCCGGTGTTCGGTATTTTTGTTTGAATGTATTATACCCCAGATAGGAATCCCATGGAGCCCATTCGTATGAAACTGACTGTAAAGACTTTGGCTCCATGGCGATTAAACTGTATTCGTGTGGTCTGAGCGCCATTCACTTAATAATGTCCGCTCGGACCTGAGCTATCTGGGGATATGTTACATGTCTGTGTTTTGTGTAATAAATGTTACATTATGTATTTTAAAGTATAATGCTGGTTTTGTGTCTCCACGTGTGTAATGGAGTTTTGCCTTTGTCTTGGGAGATAATTGAGTTACTTCCCAGTTATCTCCCAGGGCAGAGGGGAGGAAGCCAGGATGCACTGTGGGAAATACTGTGACTGTGTGTCCTATTTGTCTGCTTGTCTGTCCCTTGTCACAGTCTCCCATTTGGTCCCCTAGAGGAGTGTCCACCAGGTGGGAGACCTGCATAAATACTGGGCAGGTAGCCCTCATTAAACAGACCACTGCTTGACCCTCAACACGGAGCCTTGTCTCGTTTTTGGGGGGATTTACTGTATGCTGCTAAGGACTGATTGCCAGGAGTGTAAGCTGCTTGGGAGCTTTTCCTGTTCGTCTGGTAGCAGCAATTCGTATGGTTCCTGTTCGTGTATTTGGAGTGCTATCTTATTCCCTTGTATGCCGTTCGGGAGTTTGGAGCATTCACTTGTATTCAGTTCGTGAGTTTTGGTGATTCTACAGTAGCTGTGCCTGTCTCTGAAAGGGGATTATCGTCTAAGCGTTTTTTTTCCCTTTTTTGCAAAACGGTCCGTTACAATTGGTGGCAAGCGGCGGGATCGTTCCCACAGACTACAGGACAGCTACAGGTGACACCATTCCGTGGATTTTTACAATTTGAGGGCAACGCATGTCCCAGTACAGCGACCCTGACAGCACCGAGATGGAACCAGCAGTGGAGTATGACGAGGGTGCCATGGATGACCGAGATGCAGTCCGTAAAGGCATCTGGTACCAGGCACTGGGTATTGTGGAGTACCAGCGGGGCGAGAGATTCCCCAAGGAAGACCAGCGGTTGCAGAAGCGAGTAGCCCTGCGGATGCCCTTCCTGGGAGAGCAGCCCCTGGAGGAATGGGTGAGGAAATTGGAACACCTAGTATGGCAGGAGTTGTGGCTAGAAGATGCCTACCAGGCGCTCTGGTGGTATGGGGCACAGTACCTACCCTGGACAGCCGAGCATGACAAGCCAGAGGGAGAGGAGTTTGATGGTCCTGGCTTGTTATGGGAGCCGTTTTCAGAGCTCGAATTTGGGAGCCCTACACAAGCCCGGTTCAGTGATCTCTGGGAGTGGAGGGAGAGCAGGTATGACTGGGACGACACTCACAAAATTGAGCAAGACTTGGTCCACCTGGTGACCCGGGAGATGGAGCTAGAACAGGGCTACCAGCAGCTGTTCCAATACAGTGAGAAGGCTCAGCAGGAGAGCAGCATGACAGAGCCAGACCCATTCAGAGGGAACGAGATGGTACAGTTTTACTGGGAAGAACCCCAGGTGGCCGGTGGAGATGGGACCGAGGTCTCTCCACCGGTCCTGCAGGGAATTGGGAGCCCAGTCTCCATTCCCCAGCGGCAGTGTAAAGTGCAGGGAGAGGATAGCAGCGTCCTCCCTCCCCAGCGGCAGGCTGAGTTACAGGGGGCAGAGGTAGTTGTTCCTGCCCTCCAGCAGCAGAGTGATATGCCGGGAAGGCAGTGTAAAGTGCAGGGAGAGGAGAGCAGCATCCTCCCTCCCCAGCGGCAGGCTGAGTTACAGGGGGCAGAGGTAGTTGTTCCTGCCCCACAGCAGCAGAGTGATATGCCGGGAAGGCAGTGTGAAGTGCAGGGAGAGGAGAGCAGTGTCCTCCCTCCCCAGCGACAAACTGAGTTACAGGGGGCAGAGGTAGTTGTTCCTGCCCCCCAGCAGCCAAGTGATATGCCGGGAAGGCAGTGTGAAGTCCAGGGAGAGGAGAGCAGTGTCCTCCCTCCCCAGCGGCAGCGTGATTTTTGGGGAATTGGGAGCCCAGTCTCCATTCCCCAGCGGCAGTATGATGCTTTGGGAATTGGGAGCCCAGTCTCCATTCCCCAGCGGCAGCACAGATTATTGGGAATTGGGAGCCCCGTCTCCATTCCCCAGCGGCAGAGTGTCCTACCGGGAATAGAGAGCCCAGTCTCCTTTCCCCAGCAGCAGGACTCTGTATTGGGAGCAGAGACAGTCGGTCTCCCTCCCCCGCGGCTGGAAGTATGTATGAGAGAGGAGCTTGTTACCCCCTCTCCCCAGCGGCAGCTTAATGTACCCGGGGGAGACAGTAAGCCCCACAACTGTGCAGATGGGACCGTAGTCTCTACACTGCCAGCACAGGGGGTAGGGACGTTCGGTTCTGCCCCCCAGCGACAGGGCTGTTTAGCCAAAGGGGAGACAGTCGGTCTCCCCCTCCAGCAGCAGAGATGGGTAACCAAAGGGGAGACAGTCGGTCTCCAGCATCAGGACTGTGTATCTAAAGGGGAGACAGTCAGTCTCCAGCAGCAGAGCGGTGTATTTAAAGGGGAGACAGTCGGTCTCCCCCTCCAACAACCAGGCTTCAACCAGGCTACCCTCCCAGTAGCGCTGGCAACAGGGCAGAGTGCCGCTGGTCTCTGCCCACGCAGCAACCCACCAAGTCAGCGTACCCGTACCCAGCACAGCCGTGGTGAGGCACCTGGACATGGACAAGCTTCTCCTTTACCCAGGTGTAGTAACCATTTATTGTGGGTGGGCTGTGCTGCTGATTATGTTTTGTGGGTGGGCTGCTGGACTAACAAGGGCACTGACCGGCAGGAGGTCAGATACCCTGTTAGCCTGTTTGGAAAAGGGGAGAGATGTGACGAGACCAATCTCGCCACATTGCATTGGAGAAGCCTGGTTGCTCGCCTGCTGCCTTTGGACTATGGCCCCCTTTTAAAAGACTTTATTTTTGCATGCAGAAAAGCTGTATTCATGCTTTTCTGCCGGTTGTTCGGTAGTTTCAATCTACCGAACAACCGCACGAATGAATAGACCACCTGGGAGCTGGAGTGTGCCGGCAATTAACCTCCCTGAAGCTGCGGTTAACCGCAGCTTAATTGATGAAAGCTGGGTGGCCGCCATTCGTATCCCGAACACGAGGTCGCGGCCATTTTAAAACATACGAATGCACAGCGGTGTTCACCTCTATTTTCATGGAACTAAAATCGGACACAGTTTTGCGCGAACACCGCTGAAGCCGCCAACCTCCCTTCTTGTTCGGTGGAAGTGCACGAACAGCCCGGTGTTCTGTATTTTTGTTCGAATGTATTATACCCCAGATAGGAATCCCATGGAGCCCATTCGTATGAAACTGACTGTGTAAAGACTTTAGCTCCATGGCGATTAAGCTGTATTCGTGTGGTCTGAGTGCCATTCACCTAATAATGTGCACTCAGACCTGAGCTATCTGGGGATATGTTACATGTCTGTGTTTTGTGTAATAAATGTTACATTATGTATTTTAAAGTATAATGCTGGTTTTGTGTCTCCACGTGTGTAATGGAGTTTTGCCTTTGTCTTGGGAGATAATTGAGTTACTTCCCAGTTATCTCCCAGGGCAGAGGGGAGGAAGCCAGGATGCACTGTGGGAAATACTGTGACTGTGTGTCCTATTTGTCTGCTTGTCTGTCCCTTGTCACAGTCTCCCATTTGGTCCCCTAGGGGAGTGTCCACCAGGTGGGAGAACTGCATAAATACTGGGCAGGTAGCCCTCATTAAACAGACCACTGCTTGACCCCTCAACACGGAGCTTGTCTCGTCTTTGGGGGGGATTTACTGAATGCTTATAGAGACTGATTGCAGGAGTGTAAGCCGCTTGGGAGCTTTTCCTGTTCGTCTGGTAGCAGCAATTCGTATGGTTCCTGTTCGTGTATTTGGAGTGCTATCTTATTCCCTTGTATGCCGTTCGGGAGTTTGGAGCATTCACTTGTATTCAGTTCGTGAGTTTTGGTGATTCTACAGTAGCTGTGCCTGTCTCTGAAAGGGGATTATCGTCTAAGCGTTTTTTTTCCCTTTTTTGCAAAACGGTCCGTTACAGTTTGCTTTTCACAAGAAGCATTGCCTGATGTGAATGATGCCTCGCACAAAAGAGCTCTCAGAAGACCCATGATTAAGAATTGTTGACTTGCATAAAGCTGTAATGGGTTATAAAAGTATATCCAAAAGCCTTGCTGTTCATCAGTCCACAGTAAGACAAATTGTCTATAAATGGAGAAAGTTCAGCACTGCTGCTACTCTCCCTAGGAGTGGCCGTCCTGTAAAGAAGACTGCAAGAGCACAGCGCATACTGCTCAATGAGGTGAAGAAGAATCCTAGAGTGTCAGCTAAAGACTTACAAAAGTCACTGTCAAATGCTAACATCCCTGTTAGCGAATCTACAATACGTAAAACACTAAACAAAAATGGATTTCATGGGAGGATACCACAGAGGAAGCCACTGCTGTCCAAACAAAACATTGCTGCCCATTTACAGTTTGCACAAGAACACCTGGATGTTCCACCGCAGTACTGGCAAAATATTCTGTGGACAGATGAAACCAAAGTTGAGTTGTTTGGAAGAAACACACAACACTAAGTGTCGCGAAAAAAAGGCACAGCACACCAACATCAAAACCTCATCCCAACTGTGAAGTATGGTGGTAGGGGCATCATGGTTTGGGGCTGCTTTGCTGCGTCAGGGCCTGGACGGATTGCTATCATCGAAGGAAAAATGAATTCCCAAGTTTATCAAGACATTTTGCAGGAGAACTTAAGGCCATCTGTCTACCAGCTGAAGCTCAACAGAAGATGGGTGTTGCAACAGGACAATGACCCAAAGCATAGAAGTAAATCAACAACAGAATGGCTTAAACAGAAGAAAATACGCCTTCTGAAGTTGCCCAGTCAGAGTCCTAACCTCAACCCGATTGAGATGCTGTGGCATGACCTCAAGAAAGCGATTCACACCAGACATCCCAAGAATATTGCTGAACTGAAACAGTTCTGTAAAGAGGAATGGTCAAGAATTACTCCTGACCGTTGTGCACGTCTGATCTGCAACTACAGGAAACGTTTGGTTGAAGTTATTGCTGCCAAAGGAGGTTCAACCAGTTATTAAATCCAAGGGTTCACATACTTTTTCCACCTGCACTGTGAATGTTTACATGGTGTGTTCAATAAAAACATGGCAACATTTCATTCTTTGTGTGTTATTAGTTTAAGCAGACTGTGATTGTCTATTGTTTTGACTTAGATGATGATCAGATCACATTTTATGACCAATTTGTGCAGAAATCCATATCATTCCAAAGGGTTCACATACTTTTTCTTGCAACTGTATGTCCTTGGTTAGATACTTAAAATCAACGTATAACTAAAGTGGATCACATGGTGAAGAAAGTTAAGTCCTATTTATGAAATCAGTATGTTACATTATTTCTAAACCGCCATGTATGTATGCTTTTATAAAGAGGTAGAATAGTTTTGCAGCTTATTGCTGGTGATTTCATAGTAAACAGACTTTCTATGATGTTTCTACAGGTAAATACTACTTTTATCAATTGTCTGTATTGTACTATGATAATCTCTCAGAGATGCCAATAGATGGGAATGATTGCTGTTAGTCAGTACAGTTTGTAAAGACTGTGCTAAATGGAGCTGCAAGCTGGGCCGTGCTTGTAGTAAGAGTTAGAGTGTTGCGTTATGATGGTCTCTAGTGATGCTGCTGGTAAGATTATTTGTGCTAACTAACAAAGAAAGCACACAGCGATAGAAAGCTAATTCTTAGGCCAATGCTTAACTTCCTAGATGTCCATTTTAGTGGCAAATAAAACAAACATTTCCAAAAAAAGACTTCATCGTCGTATACAATGTGTATATCTTTTTATTAATATTATCTTGATCAGCTTTCTGTTGTTATTCTAGATTTTTTCATTCGCTGCAAATACTACACATATTTCCAACCTTAATAAACAAGAGTGAAAAGGTGAAACATGGAACTTGATGAGGCGGCGTCTATTTTCAAGCTATATAACCAAATAAATGTATGGATATGTAGTCCTGCTGAATACGTTATCAGAGATTATAGCAATCATCCATTACTGATTTATGATGTGTGTTTACATGTTATTTTATCCCCACGAGAACCATTTATTTGATTACACTCCTTATAGGTTTCTACATTCTTCATACATTTCTCAGACCCTGACTATATAGATAAACTATGGACCTCTAGCATGGTGTTTGTTATCAGCCATGACAGTGATCGGGCTTCCTCTTACCCAGAGAGCTGAGGGGTTGGAGATCCTCCATTACAATAGCCTTGTAAGGTTCCTTTGGTTCTTCCACATATTCCCACTCCTACATGGAGAACAAGACAAGCATTGGCACACCTTCAAGAAAACTATAGGTGGGAAATTATACTCAATTTTATAATGCCTTTTATTAGGTAATGCACAAAGAAGGGCAAACACCCCCCCCCCCCCCCCCAAAAATAAATTACTGTAATCGGGGGCGTTTGTGTCTGGGCTATTCTTATCCCATCAACTCGTACTGCTAGTTTATCCCCTTAGAGTAGTTCTGCCCATCACTTACCATACATATAAAATGCTATTTACCACGTGCAGATCAGAGGTGTGCAGACAGCAGCTGTGCTCTCCTCCTGAATGGGGTGCACATAACATCTTGCACCAACTTTGATACAGAGAATGCCTTTGTGTGCCCCCAAAAGTACTGTTTTACTCCCCTATTGCCCCAACTTTAACAAAGCAGGCATACTCCATCAGAGCATTTGGTAACCTAACTACGCAACTAAATGCAATAAAGAGACTCGGGAGTTGGCCACATGGAGCTATACATCAGACTAGTCACATCTTTTGAAACATTTATGATTGAAAACCATATGGCCAATAGAGGTGCTCTCTGGACCGAGGGTTACTGAGGGGATAAGCTATCCGGGGATACCCTTGTTGTGAGGATTATATGTTTTTGGAGAACATATAAAATGTGATAGCTCTTAAAGTGACAATGTGAAAGAATCTGATACCGTGATACAGGGATCATCCAAAAACACCCCTTCATTCCCAGCAGCCTCACCTCACCAGTCGGCAGCTGGATGATCTCATTAGTCAGTTCCAAGATCTTCAGGTCATTGTTTTTCTCGTGGATCAAAGAGCGAGGTGGAGGCACTGGGCTGGGGCTTTGAGTCCTGGAGAATGCAGACACATAAGACTTGCTGCAATGTCCATCATGGCCACCAGGTTTCTTGACAACCAAATAATCCTAAAAAAAAAATTCAACAAGTAACACAGACAAATTATCAACAAACAGCTATATCAAGAGATATTACTTCAGGATAGAATGCAATAATTACATGCCTTAACTTACAGTACCGTAACAAAGGTAATAGTAATGCTAATATGATCTACATGGTGACATTACCCAGAATCCCTCACCTCTCCAGTCAGCAGGTAGATGATCTACATGGTGACATTACCCAGAATCCCTCACCTCTCCAGTCAGCAGGTAGATGATCTCCATAATGACATTACCCAGAATCCCTCACCTCTCCAGTCAGCAGGTAGATGATCTCCATACTGACATTACCCAGAATCCCTCACCTCTCCAGCCAGCAGGTAGATGATGTCCATAATGACATTACCCAGAATCCCTCACCTCTCCAGTCAGCAGGTAGATGATCTACATGGTGACATTACCCAGAATCCCTCACCTCTCCAGTCAGCAGGTAGATGATCTCCATACTGACATTACCCAGAATCCCTCACCTCTCCAGTCAGCAGGTAGATGATCTCCATAATGACATTACCCAGAATCCCTCACCTCTCCAGTCAGCAGGTAGATGATCTCCATACTGACATTACCCAGAATCCCTCACCTCTCCAGTCAGCAGGTAGATGATCTCCATACTGACATTACCCAGAATCCCTCACCTCTCCAGCCAGCAGGTAGATGATCTCCATACTGACATTACCCAGAATCCCTCACCTCTCCAGGCAGCAGGTAGATGATCTCCATACTGACATTACCCAGAATCCCTCACCTCTCCAGCCAGCAGGTAGACGATCTCCATAATGACATTACCCAGAATCCCTCACCTCTCCAGTCAGCAGGTAGATGATCTCCATAATGACATTACCCAGAATCCCTCACCTCTCCAGTCAGCAGGTAGATGATCTCCAAGGTGATACTCAAGATTCTCTCAGACACCTGATTCCTGTCCTTGTTCATTATAGAGGTCTTGTTAAAAAGATTATTCTCTGATTTGTCACTGCAAAAATAATAATTTTATG